CTATCCTCCTCCTGCTCCACCAACCCTCTCCCAGCTCCGCCTATCCTCCTCCTGCCTGCTCCACCAACCCTCTCCCAGCTCCGCCTATCCTCCTCCTGCTCCACCAACCCTTTCCCAGCTCCGCCTATCCTCCTGCTCCACCTATCCTTACCCAGCTCTACCTATCCTCCTCCACCAAGCCTCACCCAGCTCCGCCTATCCTCCTCCACCAATTCTCGCCCAGCTCCTCCTATCCTCCTCCTGCTCCACCAACCCTCGCCCAGCTCCTCCTATCCTCCTCCTGCTCTCCACCAACCCTCGCCCAGCTCCTCCTATCCTCCTCCTGCTCCACCAATCCTCACCCAGCTCCGCTTATCCTCCTCCACCAATCCTCGGCCTGCTCCGCCTATCCTCCTGCTCCACCTATCCTCACCCAGCTCCGCCTATGCTCCTCCTGCTGCACCTATCCTCACCTAGCTCCGCCTATACTCCTCCTGCTCCACCAATCCTCGCCCAGCACCGCCTATCCTCCTGCTCCACCAATCCTCGCCCAGCTCTATCCTCCTCCTGCTCCACCAATCCTCACCCAGCTCCGCCTATCCTCGCCCAATTCCTACCCCCGAGGAGCACAGTCATGTAAAAACACACAGGAGTGAAAAAAAAAAGAGAAGAAATGAGTAAAGAAGTGAAGATGAAAACGGGGTTCACAGGGGGAGAGGTGGAAACACATCGGTGCAGTGCCAGGGCAATGTCCATTACCGCCCCCCAGGTGTAAAATGTAAAGTGCTCCCCCTGCCTATGATCTGTGAACTTCCTCAGCAGCATAGTTCGCAGGCCCTGGCCTTTTTGCCCCCCACCCCCCCCTAGTTCTGCCTACCCCCTGGCCCGCCCGGCGCTGTGTCTGAGACATGGATATGATGGCGGTCTGCAGTCCGGAGCTGTGATCTGCTGACATTATCAGATAACTGACACATACAGCACTCTGCTCTACTGCCATTTATTTACAGAAGATAAAAGGCAAGATAAGTGGCAGTTTCACAAGCTGGATCTGAATGGAGGTTCTGTCTGTTAACCCTTCACACTGGAACAGAGAATCCGTGCAATATATTGCCATTACCACCCCCCCCCCCCCCCCCCCCCACAGGAGGTGACTGATCTCCGCTCTTATTTCTTTACAGAAGATAAAAGCTGAGTGCACTATATGTGGGTGACGGAGTCCGCACATCGCAGGTCCGGGCTGCCAGCATCCTGATGTCTCAGATGAGTCTCTGCTTCCCCCTAATGTAATGTGAACGATGGGATCCACCACTGCCGGGCTGTACATTTACCCGATTCCAGGGCTGGCCAATGTACATTTACCCGATTCCAGGGCTGGCCAATGTACATTTACCCGATTCCAGGGCTGGCCAATGTACATTTACCCGATTCCAGGGCTGGCCAATGTACATTCACCCGATTCCAGGGCTGGCCAATGTACATTTACTCGATTCCAGGGCTGGCCAATGTACATTCACCCGATTCCAGGGCTGGCCAATGTACATTTACCCGATTCCAGGGCTGGCCAATGTACATTTACCCAATTCCAGGGCTGGCCAATGTACATTTACCCAATTCCAGGGCTGGCCAATGTACATTTACCCAATTCCAGGGCTGGCCAATGTACATTTTCCCAATTCCAGGGCTGGCCAATGTACATTTACCCAGTTGTTGGGCTGGCCTGTGTACATTTACCCAGTTGTTGGGCTGGCCAGTGTACATTTACCCAGTTGTTGGGCTGGCCTGTGTACATTTACCCGATTCCAGGTCTGGCCAATGTACATTCACCCGATTCCAGGGCTGGCCAATGTACATTCACCCGATTTCCAGGGCTGGCCAATGTACATTCACCCGATTTCCAGGGCTGGCCAATGTACATTCACCCGATTTCCAGGGCTGGCCAATGTACATTCACCCGATTTCCAGGGCTAGCCAATGTACATTCACCCGATTTCCAGGGCTGGCCAATGTACATTCACCCGATTTTTCCAGGGCTGGCCAATGTACATTCACCCGATTTCCAGGGCTGGCCAATGTACATTCACCCGATTTCCAGGGCTGGCCAATGTACATTTACCCGATTCCAGGGCTGGCCAATGTACATTCACCCGATTTCCAGGGCTGGCCAATGTACATTTACCCGATTCCAGGGCTGGCCAATGTACATTTACCCGATTTCCAGGGCTGGCCAATGTACATTCACCCGATTTCCAGGGCTGGCCAATGTACATTCACCCGATTTCCAGGGCTGGCCAATGTACATTTACCCGATTCCAGGGCTGGCCAATGTACATTCACCCGATTTCCAGGGCTGGCCAATGTACATTTACCCGATTCCAGGGCTGGCCAATGTACATTTATCCGATTGCCGGGCTGACCGATGTACATTTGCCCGATTGATCCTGCTGGAAGCGACTGACAGCGGCTCCCGACAGCAAGGTTATGACAGGCCTGACACTCCCTTCCAGGAGTAAAAGACAGCGGCTACCGATAGCACGGGATGACAAGGCTGATGTACACCCCGCCCAGTCCTGCTGGAAGCGACTGACAGCGGCTTTGACAGCAAGGTATGATGGGCCTGACACGCCCTCTGCCCTTCCAGTAGTAAAGGACAGTTGCAAGGAATGATAGGGCCACCATGTCCCCGGCCCTTCCAGGAGTGACTGACAGCGGCACCCAATAGTAAGGGATGATAGGGCCACCATGTCCCCGGCCCTTCCAGGAGTGACTGAGAGCAGCACCCAATAGTAAGGGATGATAGGGCCACCATGTCCCCGGCCCTTCCAGGAGTGACTGACAGCGGCACCCAATAGTAAGGGATGATAGAGCCACCATGTCCCCGGCCCCTCTAGGAGTGACGGACAGCGGCACCCAATAGTAAGGAATGATAGGGCCACCATGTCCCCGGCCCTTCTAGGAGTGACGGACAGCGGCACCCAATAGTAAGGAATGATAGGGCCACCATGTCCCCGCCCCTCTAGGAGTGACTGACAGCGGCACCCAATAGTAAGGGATAATAGGGCCACCATGTCCCCGGCCCCTCTAGGAGTGACTGAGAGCAGCACCCAATAGTAAGGGATGATAGGGCCACCATGTCCCCGCCCCTCTAGGAGTGACTGACAGCAGCACCCAATAGTAAGGGATGATAGGGCCACCATGTCCCCGCCCCTCTAGGAGTGACTGACAGCAGCACCCAATAGTAAGGGATAATAGGGCCACCATGTCCCCGGCCCCTCTAGGAGTGACTGAGAGCAGCACCCAATAGTAAGGGATGATAGGGCCACCATGTCCCCCCGCCCCTCTAGGAGTGACGGACAGCGGCACCCAATAGTAAGGGATGATAGGGCCACCATGTCCCCGCCCCTCTAGGAGTGACTGACAGCGGCACCCAATAGTAAGGGATGATAGGGCGACATGTCCCCGCCCCTCTAGGAGTGACTGACAGCGGCACCCAATAGTAAGGGATGATACAGCCGACAAATCATGGGCACTGGCATTGGCTGGATGCTGCAGACGGGACTCTCCCCATCTCAGCATAGATACAAAGGAGGTGCTGTGAGCCGCAGTCACATGACCAGCTACAATCCTGCGAATACGGGACAGATTGATACAAATGAAAAATGACGACTTTGGTTACTAATAAGGATTGCAATGGGGATAAGACGGGGAAATTCACATAACAACAAGGCCAACTGACATGCAGGTATGCAGGATGGAGTGTCAGAGGGGGGGACCAGCCGGAGGGGGGGGGGGACCAGCCGGGAGGGGGGGGGGGGGACCAGCCGGGAGGGGTGGAGACCAGCCGGGAGGGAGGGGGGGGGGGGGGGTCGGACCAGCCGGGAGGGGGGGGGGGGACCAGCCGGGAGGGGGGGGGGGACCAGCCAGGAGGGGTGGACCAGTCGGGAGGGGTGGACCAGTCGGGAGGGGGGGGACCAGCCGGGAGGGGGGGGACCAGCCGGGAGGGGGGGGGGACCAGCCGGGAGGGGGGGGACCAGCCGGGAGGGGGGGGGACCAGCCAGGAGGGGGGACCAGTCGGGAGGGGTGGACCAGCCAGGAGGGGGGGGACCAGCCGGGAGGGGGAACAGCAATCTTCCACTCTCTGAGGGAGCACAGACATATAAAGTGGTTGTAAACCTCAGACATGAAATATGAACAAAGCACATCCCTCTGTAGTGTGTCCTTGTCTCAGTCCAGAGCACTGAGTGTCATTTCTGTCTGCTGCCTCCTTCCTCTGCTCTCAGAATGAGTCACTATTGACAAGTTTTTCCGACACCAAGAGAAAAATGGTGACAGGGGGAGAAGCTCCAGCACACAGCCTGTGATTGACAGCCTTAGCTCTGTTCCTGTAAGCTGTGTGAAGGGGGAAGGGGGTGTCTCTTTCCTCCAATCAGCTCTCAGAGCTCGCCTCACTGATGTAACAATAGCTCCCCGCCCCCAGAGCTGAGAGATCCTGTGTAAACTCTGCACTGTGAATGGATATAGGGGAAAGATAGTACAGATAAAAAGGTACAACTTATGTAGGAGGATTTGGAGAGATCCTGTGTAAATTCTGCACTGTGAATGGATGTAGGGAAAAGATAGAACAGATAAAAAGGTACAACTTATGGAGGAGGATCTGTATATCACCTGAGGCCAGTCACTTCACTGAGTATATGGAGGGTTTGCAACCACTTTACCAATAGACTCTCTTGCACCATCCTCCTGTCGGTGGCGGGGCCTGTGCACACCTGACCAGGGGTGGACTGACCATTTGAGCACTCGGGCGTGGCCCGAGGGCCCGTGGTCAGTAGGGAGCCCCAGTGAGATGCCCCTGATACCTTTAATTGGCTTTTTTCGGGTGTTGGCGAGGACAAAGGGGCCCCATGATCCCCTATTGCCCGGGGGCCCCATGAATTGTCAGTCCGCCCCTGCACCTGACTATATCCACTGTGCAGCAGTGATGAGGTTTCTGAAGGGGAGGAGGATACCCTGTCTGGTGGGCGGAGCTATGTGTTGTCCTGGACGATGACCACCAGGAAAGGGATTGGGTGTCGCATTTCTATGAAGTCTATGAGGATGAGACGTCTCACCTGTTCTGTAGATGCTACACTGGTTCCTACAGAGCCCGTCTGTCCCTGAGGAAGCTCCATGTTCAAGTCGAGTCTGGAAACACAGAAAGACAACACATGAGTGACAGATATTCAGCCAATCACACAGCATCCGGATACAATCAGCCAATCAGATTAGGAACTGCACTGCAAAGTGACAGCTGCAATCTGGGCATTGGCTGTGTGACGAAAAAACAGACAGTTCTTATTTCAGATACTTTGTAACAGTTTTGTACAGATATATAGTAGTAGCTACACCATATTGCCGAAAGTATTGTCCCCGCCCCCCATATCATGTGATTCAGGTGTTCCAATCCTCTCCCAATCATGTGATTCAGGTGTTCCAATCCCCTCCCCGTCATGTGATTCAGGTGTTCCAATCCCCTCCCTGTCATGTGATTCAGGTGCTCCAATCCCCTCCCAATCATGTGATTCAGGTGCTCCAATCCCCTCCCAATCATGTGATTCAGGTGCTCCAATCCCCCCCATATCATGTGATTCAGGTGTTCCAATCCCCTCCATATCACGTGATTCAGGTGCTCCAATCCCCTCCATATCATGTGATTCAGGTGTTCCAATCCCCTCCATGGACACAGGTGTATACAATCCATCCCCTAGGCATGCAGACGGCTTCTACAAACATTGGTGAAAGAATGGGTCGCTCTCAGGAGCTCAGTGACTCCAAGCGTGGTCCCGTGATAGGTGGCCACCTGGGCAATAAGTCCATCCGTGACATTTCCTGGCTACTAAATATTCCACGCTCAACTGTTAGTGGGATTATAACAAAGTGGAAGCCACTGGGAACAACAGCCACTCAGCCACCAAGTGGTAGGCCACGTCACATGATAGGGCGGGGTCAGCGCATGCTGAAGCGCACAGTGCGCAGAAGTCACCAACTGTCTGCAGAGTCAATAGCTAAAGACCTCCAAACTTGGTGTGGCCTTCAGATGAGCCCAACAACAGTGCGTAGAGAGCTTCATGGAATGGGTTTCCATGGCTGAGCAGCTGCATCCAAGCCTTCCATCACCAAGTGCAATGCAAAGCGTCGGATGCCGTGGTGTAAAGCACGCCGCCACTGGACTCTAGAGCAGTGGAGGCGTGTTCTCTGGAGGGACCAATCACACTTCTCTGTCTGGCAATCCGATGGACGTGTCTGGGTTTGGCGGTGGCCAGGAGAACGATACTTGCCTGACTGCATTGTGCCAAGTGTAAAGTTTGGTGGAGGGGGGATTATGGTGTGGGGCTGTTCCTCAGGGGTTGGGCTTGGCCCCCTAGTTCCAGTGAAGGGAACTCTTATGGGACAATTTCCTGCTCCCACCTTTGTGGGAGGAGTTTGGGGATGGCCCCTTCCTGTTCCAACATGACTGCCCACCAGTGCACAAAGCAAGGTCCATAAAGACATGGAGGAGCCAGTTTGGGGTGGAGGAACTTGACTGTCCTGCACAGAGTCCTGACCTCAACCCCATAGAACACCTTTGGGATGAATTAGAGCGGAGACTGCGAGCCAGGCCTCCTCCCCCGACACCAGTGCCCCTCCCCCGACATCAGTGCCTGACCCGACAAATGTGCTTCTGGAAGAATGGTCCAACCTTCCCATAGACACCCTCCTAAACCTTGTGGACGGCCTTCCCAGAAGAGGCAAAGGGCGGGGCCAACTCAATATTGAACCCTACGGACTAAGACTGGGGGGCCATTACAGGTCATGTGTGTGGAAAGGGAGGGGCCAACTCAATATTGAACCCTACGGACTAAGACTGGGGGGCCATTAAAGGTCATGTGTGTGGAAAGGGCGGGGCCAACCCAATATTGAACCCTACGGGCTAAGACTGGGGGGCCATTACAGGTCATGTGTGTGGAAAGGGAGGGGTCAACTCAATATTGAACCCTACGGACTAGGACTGGGGGGCCATTAAAGGTCATGTGTGTGGAAAGGGCGGGGCCAACTCAATATTGAACCCTACGGACTAAGACTGGGGGGGGCCATTAAAGGTCATGTGCATGGAAAGGCCAGCGGCCCGATACTGCGGGCAAAATGGTGTCTATACGGGGGGCGGGGACAATACTCGGGGCAATGTAGTGTACATACGGGGGGAAGGGGGGGGCGGGGACAATGTAGTGTATATACGGGGGGGGGCGGGGACAATACTTCGGGCACGGTGACTACACTGCCGATACACCGTAAGCCCCAGAGGAAGGATCTACAAACCTAAACATGGTTTCTTGCTGCATCAGAGGAAGGGAATTTCCTTCATTCAGAAGCCAGAGGGAGATTTAGAGCCACTGGGGCAAAGGAGACAATATTCATGGGGTGGGGGAGGAGGCCGAACCCCTTATAGGAGAATGGGGGAGGGGAATGGGAGCTGTAAAGGGTCTCTGATTCTGTAAGGGGGTCTCCAATGCTGCACCTGTTCAGGAGAATAAGGGGGAGGGGTCTGTGAGCTATAGGGGGCCTCCAATGCTGCACCTGCACAGGAGAATAGGGGGAGTTGTCTGAACTATAGGGGGTCTCCAAGGCTGCCCCTGCACAGGAGAATAGGGGGAGGGTCTGTCAACTATAGGGGGTATCCAAGGCTGTCCCTGCACAGGAGAATAGGGGAAGGGGTCTGTCAACTATAGGGGGTCTCTAGTGTTGCCCCTGTACAGGAAAATAAGAGGAGGGCTCTGTGAAATGCATCAAAGCTGATTGGACGATGCTTCACAGTACAGGTGGACAATGATCCAAAACACACTGCAAAAGCAACCCAGGAGGAAGGAAAAGAAGTGGAATATTCTGCAATGGCCGAGACAGTCATCTGATCTCAACCCCATTGAGCAAAAACTAAAGGAAGAAAGACCCCTAACCATGGCTTCCAGACTTCAGGCAAAGCATCAGAAAGGAGGAAGCCCAGTCTTTGGTCATGTCCATGGGTTCCAGACTTCAGGCAAAGCATCAGAAAGGAGGAAGCCCAGTCTTTGGTCATGTCCATGGGTTCCAGACTTCAGGCAAAGCATCAGAAAGGAGGAAACCCAGTCTGTGGTTATGTCCATGGGTTCCAGACTTCAGGCAAAGCATCATGGTAACAAGCACATAATGAGCTCTTCCCTCCTTGTGGACACGATGACGTCATCTTGGCATTTCTATCCGTCATTATTCATGTCTTTACATTGTATCATATTCATCTTTACCATCTGCTATGAGGTGCTGAGTTTTGCCTTTACATGCCAGCGGCTCCCCATCATTCTCCTATGATATTGGGGTGCGCTCGCTCATGCATTTGTTATGTGTATACAGACGGTCGCGGTCCCTGAAAACTTGTACCTGATATTGATGTTCGACCCCTTGGACTAAAGCTGAACGTCTGCGCTTCGCATTCATTCCGATTGTTTGGTTTCAATTTATTCTGGTGGCTTACAGAGCCAAAAGGATGAAAATTGTGTCCGTGTCCAATATATACATATGTTGTGTAGGAGGAGATCGGACCCCTTCCAGAGGAACAATGAGGGCTTGGGGGGGGGGGGGTCTTTCAGCTGTCTGGGGGTCTTGCACAGAGATTGTGTAGATAGAGGAGGTCCTTTGACAGAGGGCTTTGAGCATACGGTCCCTGACAAGGGGAGAGATGCAGAGGAGGAAGACCTCCGGATAGCAGTCGGGGGAGGGGAAATCAACGGATCGACTTCTTATACCGAAGAATGACTCACCCGGCTTCATCCGCCATCTCCTGTAATAGATTGTCCACCTGACCCTGAAATCAGAGAAGAGATTGTGACGGATCTACGGATCAAAGTTCTGATAGATATCTACAAGCAGGAAGAGAATCAGTACCAGGGACCGCACACAGAGATCAGTCAGAGATCAGGGACGGCACACAGAGATCAGGGGACACACACACACACACACAGAGATCAGGGGCCGCACACAGAGATCAGGGGCCGCACACAGAGATCAGGGGCCGCACACAGAGATCAGGGGCCGCACACAGAGATCAGTCGGAGATCAGGGACGGCACACAGAGATCAGTCGGAGATCAGGGACGGCACACAGAGATCAGGGACGGCACACAGAGATCAGGGACGGCACACAGAGATCAGGGAGGGCACACAGAGATCAGTCAGAGATCAGGGACGGCACACAGAGATCAGGGACGGCACACAGAGATCAGAGGCGGCACACAGAGATCAGTCAGAGATCAGGGACGGCACACAGAGATCAGGGACGGCACACAGAGATCAGGGACGGCACACAGAGATCAGTCAGAGATCAGGGACGGCACACAGAGATCAGTCAGAGATCAGTGGCGGCACACAGAGATCAGTCAGAGATCAGGGACGGCACACAGAGATCAGTCAGAGATCAGGGACCGCACACAGAGATCAGTCAGAGATCAGGGACGGCACACAGAGATCAGGGACCGCACACAGAGATCAGGGGACACACACACACACAGAGATCAGGGGCCGCACACAGAGATCAGGGGCCGCACACAGAGATCAGTCGGAGATCAGGGACGGCACACAGAGATCAGTCGGAGATCAGGGACGGCACACAGAGATCAGGGACGGCACACAGAGATCAGGGACGGCACACAGAGATCAGGGACGGCACACAGAGATCAGGGAGGGCACACAGAGATCAGTCAGAGATCAGGGACGGCACACAGAGATCAGGGACGGCACACAGAGATCAGATCAGAGGCGGCACACAGAGATCAGTCAGAGATCAGGGACGGCACACAGAGATCAGGGACGGCACACAGAGATCAGGGACGGCACACAGAGATCAGGGACGGCACACAGAGATCAGTCAGAGATCAGGGACGGCACACAGAGATCAGTCAGAGATCAGTGGCGGCACACAGAGATCAGTCAGAGATCAGGGACGGCACACAGAGATCAGTCAGACATCAGGGACGGCACACAGAGATCAGGGACGGCACACAGAGATCAGTCAGACATCAGGGACGGCACACAGAGATCAGGGACGGCACACAGAGATCAGGGACGGCACACAGAGATCAGTCAGACATCAGGGACGGCACACAGAGATCAGGGACGGCACACAGAGATCAGGGACGGCACACAGAGATGGCACACAGAGATCAGGGGCGGCACACAGAGATGGCACACAGAGATCAGGGGCGGCACACAGAGATCAGTCAGAGATCAGGGACGGCACACAGAGATCAGTCAGAGATCAGGGACGGCACACAGAGATCAGTCAGAGATCAGGGACGGCACACAGAGATCAGTCAGAGATCAGGAGCGGCACACAGACATCAGGGAGGGCACACAGAGATCAGTCAGAGATCAGGGGCGGCACACAGAGATCAGGGACAGCACACACAGAGATCAGTCAGAGATCAGGGGCGGCACACAGAGATCAGTCAGAGATCAGGGGCGGCACACAGAGATCAGTCAGAGATCAGGGACGGCACACAGAGATCAGTCAGAGATCAGGGACGGCACACAGAGATCAGGGACGGCACACAGAGATCAGTCAGAGATCAGGGACGGCACACAGAGATCAGGGGCGGCACACAGAGATCAGGGACGGCACACAGAGATCAGGGACGGCACACAGAGATCAGGGACGGCACACAGAGATCAGGGAGGGCACACAGAGATCAGGGAGGGCACACAGAGATCAGTCAGAGATCAGGGACGGCACACAGAGATCAGTCAGAGATCAGGGACGGCACACAGAGATCAGGGACGGCACACAGAGATCAGGGACGGCACACAGAGATCAGGGACGGCACACAGAGATCAGGGACGGCACACAGAGATCAGTCAGAGATCAGGGACGGCACACAGAGATCAGTCAGAGATCAGTGGCGGCACACAGAGATCAGTCAGACATCAGGGACGGCACACAGAGATCAGTCAGACATCAGGGACGGCACACAGAGATCAGGGACGGCACACAGAGATCAGGGACGGCACACAGAGATCAGTCAGACATCAGGGACGGCACACAGAGATCAGGGACGGCACACAGAGATCAGGGACGGCACACAGAGATCAGGGACGGCACACAGAGATCAGGGACGGCACACAGAGATGGCACACAGAGATCAGGGGCGGCACACAGAGATCAGTCAGAGATCAGGGACGGCACACAGAGATCAGTCAGAGATCAGGGACGGCACACAGAGATCAGTCAGAGATCAGGAGCGGCACACAGACATCAGGGAGGGCACACAGAGATCAGTCAGAGATCAGGGGGCACACAGAGATCAGGGACAGCACACAGAGATCAGTCAGAGATCAGGGGCGGCACACAGAGATCAGTCAGAGATCAGGGGCGGCACACAGAGATCAGTCAGAGATCAGGGGCGGCACACAGAGATCAGGGACGGCACACAGAGATCAGGGACGGCACACAGAGATCAGTCAGAGATCAGGGACGGCACACAGAGATCAGTCAGAGATCAGTGGCGGCACACAGAGATCAGTCAGAGATCAGGGACGGCACACAGAGATCAGTCAGAAATCAGGGACGGCACACAGAGATCAGTCAGAGATCAGGGACGGCACACAGAGATCAGTCAGAGATCAGGGACGGCACACAGAGATCAGTCAGAGATCAGGGACGGCACACAGAGATCAGTCAGAGATCAGGGACGGCACACAGAGATCAGGGAGGGCACACAGAGATCAGGGAGGGCACACAGAGATCAGGGGAGGGCACACAGAGATCAGGGGCGGCACACAGAGATCAGGGGCGGCACACAGAGATCAGGGGCGGCACACAGAGATCAGGGGAGGCACACAGAGATCAGGGGAGGCACACAGAGATCAGTCAGAGATCAGGGGGCGGCACACAGACATCAGGGGCGGCACACAGACATCAGGGACGGCACACAGACATCAGGGACGGCACACAGACATCAGGGGCGGCACACAGACATCAGGGGCGGCACACAGACATCAGGGGCGGCACACAGACATCAGGGGCGGCACACAGACATCAGGGGCGGCACACACAGATCAGGGGAGGCACACAGACATCAGTCAGAGATCAGGGACTGTACCTGTGGGGTAGTCAGTGTTGTCGTGTTGCTCATGGAGTCCTCCATCTGTTGGGTCTGAACATCGAGGGTCTCGAATTGGTGCTCAAATTTGTCCATTAATGCGGAGATCTACAATGAAGGAATCAGGATGTGATCTTCAGAGAAATACAAAAAAAAAAAAAAAATCTTCAAACACGAGAATTTCTCCTCCACATCTCACCTTCTCCAGGTTCATACTCTTCAGTGTGGCGTCCATCGATTTCACCACTCCGGCCATCGACTTGGTGACCTGGAATAGAGGACGAATAAAGCAGATAAACCACAAAGCAAGGAGGTCCCGAGTCCCCTATATAGATCCTGTCACTAGAGGGGTCACCGGCAGGAGGAAGGATTCCTCTATATATCTATATCCCAATAAAATTAGCTCCAGATAGAACAATCATCGGTATCAGTGGGGGGAATAGTGCCCCATCATTGGTATCAGTGGGGGGAATAGTGCCCCATCATTGGTGTCAGTGGGGGGAATAGTGCCCCATCATTGGTGTCAGTGGGAGGAATAGTGCCCCATCATTGGTGTCAGTGGGGGGAATAGTGCCCCATCATTGGTGTCAGTGGGAGGAATAGTGCCCCATCATTGGTGTCAGTGGGGGGAATAGTGCCCCATCATTGGTGTCAGTGGGGGGAATAGTGCCCCATCATTGGTGTCAGTGGGGGGAATAGTGCCCCATCATTGGTGTCAGTGGGGGGAATAGTGCCCCATCATTGGTGTCAGTGGGGGGAATAGTGCCCCATCATTGGTATCAGTGGGAGGAATAGTGCCCCATCATTGGTATCAGTGGGAGGAATAGTGCCCCGTCATTGGTGTCAGTGGGAGGAATAGTGCCCCGTCATTGGTGTCAGTGGGAGGAATAGTGCCCCGTCATTGGTGTCAGTGGGAGGAATAGTGCCCCGTCATTGGTGTCAGTGGGAGGAATAGTGCCCGTCATTGGTGTCAGTGGGAGGAATAGTGCCCCGTCATTGGTGTCAGTGGGAGGAATAGTGCCCCATCATTGGTGTCAGTGGGAGGAATAGTGCCCCATCATTGGTGTCAGTGGGAGGAATAGTGCCCCATCATTGGTGTCAGTGGAGGAATAGTGTCCCATCATTGGTGTCAGTGGGAGGAATAGTGCCCCATCATTGGTGTCAGTGGGAGGAAATAGTGCCCCATCATTGGTGTCAGTGGGAGGAATAGTGCCCCATCATTGGTATCAGTGGGAGGAATAGTGCCCCATCATTGGTATCAGTGGGAGGAATAGTGCCCCATCATTGGTGTCAGTGGGGGGAATAGTGTCCCCGTCATTGGTGTCAGTGGGAGGAATAGTGCCCCGTCATTGGTGTCAGTGGGAGGAATAGTGCCCGTCATTGTTGGTGTCAGTGGGAGGAATAGTGTCCCATCATTGGTGTCAGCGGAGGAATAGTGTCCCATCATTTGGTGTCAGCGGGAGGAATAGTGCCCCATCATTGGTGTCAGCGGGAGGAATAGTGCCCCGTCATTGGTGTCAGCGGGAGGAATAGTGCCCCGTCATTGGTGTCAGCGGGAGGAATAGTGCCCCGTCATTGGTGTCAGCGGGAGGAATAGTGCCCCATCATTGGTGTCAGCGGGAGGAATAGTGCCCCATCATTGGTGTCAGTGGGAGGAATAGTGCCCCATCATTGGTGTCAGTGGGAGGAATAGTGTCCCGTCATTGGTGTCAGTGGGAGGAATAGTGCTCCCATCATTGGTGTCAGTGGAAGGAATAGTGCCCCATCATTGGTGTCAGTGGAAGGAATAGTGCCCCATCATTGGTGTCAGTGGAGGAATAGTGCTCCATCACTTGTGGTGTCAGTGGAAGGAATAGTGCCCCATCATTGGTATCAGTGGGAGGAATAGTGCCCCATCTTGGTGTCAGTGGGAGGAATAGTGCCCCATCATGTGTCATGGTGTCAGTGGGTGTCAGTGGGAGGAATAGTGCCCCATCATTGGTGTCAGTGGGAGGAATAGTGCCCCCATCATTGGTGTCAGTGGGAAGGAATAGTCCCCATCATTGGTGTCAGTGGAGGAATAGTGCCCCATCATTGGTATCAGTGGGAGGAATAGTCCTACCAGTCCCATCATTGGTGTCAGTGGGAGGAATAGTGTCCCATCATTGGTGTCAGTGGGAGGAATAGTGTCCCCATCATTGGTGTCAGTGGGAGGAATAGTGCCCCATCATTGGTGTCAGTGGGAGGAATAAGTAGTGTCCCATCATTGGTGTCAGTGGGAGGAATAGTGTCCCATCATTGGTGTCAGTGGGAGGAATAGTGCCCCATCATTGGTGTCAGTGGGAGGAATAGTGCCCCATCATTGGTGTCAGTGGGAGGAATAGTGCCCCATCATTGGTGTCAGTGGGAGGAATAGTGCCCCATCATTGGTGTCAGTGGGAGGAATAGTGCCCCATCATTGGTGTCAGTGGGAGGAATAGTGCCCCCATCATTGGTGTCAGTGGGAGGAATAGTGCCCCATCATTGGTGTCAGTGGGAGGAATAGTGTCCCATCATTGGGTGTCAGTGGGAGGAATAGTGCCCCCATCATTGGTGTCAGTGGGAGGAATAGTGTCCCATCATTGGTGTCAGTGGGAGGAATAGTGTCCCCATCATTGGTGTCAGTGGGAGGAATAGTGTCCCATCATTGGTGTCAGTGGGAGGAATAGTGCCCCATCATTGGTGTCAGTGGGAGGAATAGTGTCCCCATCATTGGTGTCAGTGGGAGGAATAGTTGTCCCATCATTGGTGTCAGTGGGAGGAATAGTGTCCCATCATTGGTGTCAGTGGGAGGAATAGTGTCCCATCATTGGTGTCAGTGGGAGGAATAGTGCCCCATCATTGGTGTCAGTGGGAGGAATAGTGCCCCATCATTGGTGTCAGTGGGAGGAAATAGTGCCCCATCATTGGTGTCAGTGGGAGGAATAGTGCCCCATCATTGGTGTCAGTGGGAGGAATAGTGTCCCATCATTGGTGTCAGTGGGAGGAATAGTGTCCCATCATTGGTGTCAGTGGAGGAATAGTGCCCCATCATTGGTGTCAGTGGGAGGAATAGTGCCCCATCATTGGTGTCAGTGGGAGGAATAGTGAATTGGTGTCAGTGGGAGGAATAGTGCCCCATCATTGGTGTCAGTGGGGAGGAATAGTGCCCCTCATCATTGGTATCCAGTGGTGGGAGGAATAGTGCCCCATCATTGGTGTCAGTGGGAGGAATAGTGCCCCATCATTGGTGTCAGTGGGAGGAATAGTGCCCCGTCATTGGTGTCAGTGGGAGGAATAGTGCCCCATCATTGGTGTCAGTGGGAGAATAGTGCCCCCATCATTGGTGTCAGTGGGAGGAATAGTGCCCATCATTGGTGTCAGTGGGAGGAATAGTGCCCCATCATTGGTGTCAGTGGGAGGAATAGTGCCCCATCATTGGTGTCAGTGGGAGGAATAGTGCCCCATCATTGGTGTCAGTGGGAGGAATAGTGCCCCATCATTGGTGTCAGTGGGAGGAATAGTGCCCCATCATTGGTGTCAGTGGGAGGAATAGTGCCCCATCATTGGTGTCAGTGGGAGGAAATAGTGCCCCATCATTGGTGTCAGTGGGAGGAATAGTGCCCCATCATTGGTGTCAGTGGGAGAATAGTGCCCATCATTGGTGTCAGTGGGAGGAATAGTGCCCCATCATTGGTGTCAGTGGAGGAATAGTGCCCCATCATTGGTGTCCATCAGTGGGAGGAATAGTGCCCCATCATTGGTGTCAGTGGGGAGGAATAGTGCCCCCATCATTGGTGTCAGTGGGAGGAATAGTGCCCCATCATTGGTGTCAGTGGGAGGAATAGTGCCCCATCATTGGTGTCAGTGGGGAGGAATAGTGCCCCATCATTGGTGTCAGTGGGAAGGAATATTGCCCCATCATTGGTGTCAGTGGAGGAATAGTGCCCCATCATTGGTGTCAGTGGGAGGAATAGTGCCCCATCATTGGTGTCATCATGGGGAGTCAGTGGGAGAATATAGTGTCCCATCATTGGTGTCAGTGGGAGGAATAGTGCCCCATCATTGGTGTCAGTGGGAGGAATAGTGTCCCATCATTGGTGTCAGTGGGAGGAATAGTGCCCCATCATCATTGGTGTCAGTGGGAGGAATAGTGCCCCATCATTGGTGTCAGTGGGAGGAATAGTGCCCCATCATTGGTGTCAGTGGGAGGAATAGTGCCCCATCATTGGTGTCAGTGGGAGGAATAGTGCCCCATCATTGGTGTCAGTGGGAGGAGGAATAGTGCCCCATCATTGGTGTCAGTGGGAGGAATAGTGCCCCATCATTGGTGTCAGTGGGAGGAATAGTGCCCCATCATTGGTGTCAGTGGGAGGAATAGTGCCCCCATCATTGGTGTCAGTGGGGATTAGGAATAGTGTGGGAGGAATAGTGTTCCATCATGGTGTCAGTGGGGGGAATAAGTGCCCCATCATTGGTGTCAGTGGGAGGAATAGTGCCCCATCATTGGTGTCAGTGGGAGGAATAGTGCCCCCATCATTGGTGTCAGTGGGGGAGGAATAGTGCCCCATCATTGGTGTCAGTGGGAGGAATAGTGTCCGTCAGTGGTGTCAGGAATATATGCCCCCATCATTGGGGTGTCAGTGGTGGGAGGAATAGTGTCCCCATCATTGGTGTCAGTGGGGGGAGGAATAGTGCCCCATCATTGGTGTCAGTGGGAGGAATAGTGCCCCCATCATTGGTGTCAGTGGGAGGAATAGTGCCCCATCATTGGTGTCAGTGGGAGGAATAGTGCCCCGGCCATCATTGGTGTCAGTGGGAGGAATAGTGCCCATCATTGGTGTCAGTGGGAGGAAATAGTGCCCCATCATCATTGGTGTCAGTGGGAGGAATAGTGTCCCATCATTGGTGTCATGGGAGGAATAGTGTCCCATCATTGGTGTCAGTGGGAGGAAAAATAGTGCCCCATCATTGGTGTCAGTGGGAGGAATAGTGCCCCATCATTGGTGTCAGTGGGAGGAATAGTGCCCCATCATTGGTGTCAGTGTGGGGGAATAGTGTCCCCATCATTGGTGTCAGTGGGAGGAATAGTGCCCCATCATTGGTGTCAGTGGGAGGAATAGTGTCCCCATGTCATTAGGTGTCAGTGGTGAGGAAATAGTGTCCCATCATTGTGTCAGTGGGAGGAATAGTGTCCCCATCAGTGGTGTCAGGAATAGAGGAATAGTGCCCCCATCATTGGTGTCAGTGGGAGGGGAATAGTGCCCCATCATTGGTGTCAGTGGGAAGGAATAGTGCCCCATCATCATTGGTGTCAGTGGGGAGGAATAGTGCCCCCATCATCATTGGTGTCAGTGGGAGGAGGAATAGTGCCCCTCATTGGTGTCAGTGGGAGGAATAGTGTGCCCCATCATTGGTGTCAGTGGGAGGAATAGTGCCCCATCATTGGTGTCAGTGGGAGGAATAGTGCCCCATCATTGGTGTCAGTGGGAGGAATAGTGCCCCATCATTGGTGTCAGTGGGAGAGGAACATAGTGCCCCATCATCCCATTCATTGGTGTCAGTGGGAGGAATAGTGCCCCATCATTGGTGTCAGTGGGAGGAATAGTGCCCCATCATTGGTGTCAGTGGGAGGAATAGTGCCCATAGTTGGTATCAGTGGGAGGAATAGTGCCCCATCATGGTGTCAGTGGGAGGAATAGTGCCCCATCATTGGTGTCAGTGGGAGGAATAGTGTCCACCATCATTGGTGTCAGTGGGAGGAATAGTGTCCCATCATTGGTGTCAGTGGGAGGAATAGTGCCCCATCATTGGTGTCAGTGGGAGGAATAGTGTCCCATCATTGGTGTCAGTGGGAGGAATAGTGTGTCCCATCATTGGTGTCAGTGGGAGGAATAGTGCCCATCATTGTGTCAGTGGGAGGAATAGTCCCCCATCATTGGTATCAGTGGGAGGAATAGTGTCCCCATCATTGGTGTCAGTGGGAGGAATAGTGTCCCATCATTGGTGTCAGTGGGAGGAATAGTGTTCCCATCATTGGTGTCAGTGGGGGGAATAGTGTCCCATCATTGGTGTCAGTGGGAGGAATAGTGTCCCATCATTGGTGTCAGTGGGAGGAATAGTGTCCCATCATTGGTGTGTCAGTGGGAGGAATAGTGCCCATCATCATTGGTGTCAGTGGGAGGAATAGTGCCCATCATTGGTGTCAGTGGGAGGAATAGTGCCCCATCATTGGTGTCAGTGGGAGGAATAGTGCCCCATCATTGGTGTCAGTGGGAGGGAATAGTGCCCATCATTGGTGTCAGTGGGAGGAATAGTGTCCCATCATTGGTGTCAGTGGGAGGAATAGTGCCCCATCATTGGTGTCAGTGGGAGGGAATAGTGCCCCATCATTGGTGTCATCCCCAGTGGGAGGAATAGTGCCCTCATCATTGGTATCAGTGGGAGGAATAGTGCCCCATCATTGGTGTCAGTGGGAGGAATAGTGCCCCATCATTGGTGTCAGTGGGAGGAATAGTGTCCCATCATTGGTGTCAGTGGGAGGGTAAGATACCAAGGGACAGATAAAGGAACGCAAAGGGCCGCAGTTTGGAGACCGCTGGTATAGAAGCGAATGACGGTGTCATGATATAGAAATCGGGATTTGGAGATCAGTGGCCTATCAATTCATTTGTGAATACTCCTTGGAATCCAGTTGGTTCCTCGGGATTTGGGCTGCTACCAGCATTTCCCAGCTGCCCTCCACCTTCCTCCTCGTGGACAGATATGACAGCTCAGCCAAGCGGAGAATCTTTTTATTTATTACATAGGAACCAAAAGCCCCCCCGTGATACTCTTCTGTCGTGACAGGTTCTCTTTACTGTTCTGCTGTGACGGGTTCTCTTTACTGTTCTGCTGTGACGGGTTCTCTTTACTGTTCTGCTGTGACGGGTTCTCTTTACTGTTCTGCTGTGACGGGTTCTCTTTACTGTTCTGCTGTGACAGGTTCTCTTACTGTTCTCTTGTGACAGGTTCTCTTTAGTGAGACCTCAGAGTTGTACCGCCCCCCAATGTCTCCCCTGTCCTCTATTAAAGTGAATGCAGCACGGATCATACTCCAGTCACTTCTTCCCCGGCCACAGCGACCAGAGAGAGTGACACCCTGGACCCCGACGGGACGGAATCTAAGCCCCTCCTGCATTTTTATCAGCCAGCCAATGGATTTTTCTCTGGTCTCCCTTTACCTGGCAACACCCTCCATGCAATTCCCCCTGAGCACACAAGTGGGAAACTGGAGCCCGACCAACCATGGGGGTGGGGGGTGGGGGTGGGGGTTGCATGGAGGAGATCAGAAGGCTATACAGTTGCCCAATTACTTCCACACAGTGTGGTCACCATAGAACAGGAAGTGTGTTGCTGGCAGGATCAAAGGAAAAAAAAAAAAAAAGAAAAGAAAACTAATGCAGCCGCCACCATCTAAGGACTGATAATCTGCAATATCTGACATTTCTCTTCCCTAGATACGCTTTTATCTTTGCAGCCGTCATTGGTATGAATATCCGAACAACATAAAACGCAGATTTCACCGCCATCCATGAAGAGGGTCGCTCTACGGGCCGCAGAATGTGAACAAAGAGCGCAGGAACGCAGCGCGCGTCATAACCCGCTGAACCCGCACTGCCTGCCCCGCTCACCTTGCCCATGGTCACCGCTGTCTGCACTCTCGCCGCTACCGCGTCGGGGGGGGGGGGGTGGGGGGGGGGGGGGGGGGGGGGGGGGGGCACTCTGGCGCTCATCCGCAGGAAGTTTATGCCCTGATTCTTCTGCCGGATGGCGTTCTCCGCGTGGATGCGAGCGATCTCCGTATTCCCCTTCTGAATGGCCTGCAGAGAGCAACATCCGCGGAGATGCGAGAGAGACCGTCAGAAAAGAGAAAACAACAACAACATCCTGAGTGTCCGATACAAGAATAATAATAAATAATAATAATAACAACAACATCCTGAGTGTCCGATACAAGAATAATAATAATAACAACAACAACAACACGACATCCTGAGTGTCCGATACAAGAATAATAATAATAATAATAATAACAACAACAACGACGACATGCTGAGTGTCCGATACAAGAATAATAAATAATAATAATAACAACAACGACATCCTGAGTGTCCGATACAAGAATAATAATAATAATAATAATAATAATAATAACAACAACAACGACATCCTGAGTGTCCGATACAAGAATAATAATAATAATAAATAATAACAACAACAACAACGACATCCTGAGTGTCCGATACAAGAATAATAATAAATAATAATAATAATAATAAATAATATAAGTAAAATAATAACAACAACAACATCCTGAGTGTCCGATACAAGAATAATAATAACAACAACAACAACAACGACATCCTGAGTGTCCGATACAAGAATAATAATAACAACAACAACAACGACATCCTGAGTGTCCGATACAAGAATAATAATAATAATAATAACAACAACAACGACATCCTGAGTGTCCGACACAAGAATAATAATAATAATAATAATAATAAAATATAACAATAATAATAAGTGTCTGATACCAGACTATGTACAATAATAATAAATAATAATAATAATAATAATGTCCTTTAGTGTTCCATACTCAGCTATGTATAATAAAATGAGTTTTCCATACCTGGCTGTGTATTATAATAATCATAGTGTCTGATCCCAGGAGTATGAAGAATAATAACAATGTCCTGAGTTTTCCATAACCGGCTAAAAAATAATATTAATAATGATAATAGTGTCCTGAGGGTCTGATCCCGGAGTATGAAGAAGAATGTCCTGAGTGCTCCATACCCAGCGATATATTATAATAATAATAATAATAATAGTGTCCCGAGTGTCTGACAGATGACTGTGAAGAATAATATTAATAATAATAATGTCCTCAGTGGTACATACCCAGCTAATATATAGTAGTAATAATTATTAGACCTAGTTTGGTATCGGACACTCGGGACATTATTATCATCATTATTATTATCAGTATTATTATTCTTCTTAGTAAGGTATCAGACATTATTATTATTATTATTATTAAGGTATCGGACACTATTATTATTTGTTATTAATATTATGCATAGCTGGGTATGGAACACAGAGGATATTATTATTATTATTATTTATTATTATTAATATGTCCTGAGTGTTCCATACCCGGCTAGGTATAATAATAATAGTGTTCAATACCTGACAATGTACAATAATAATAGTAACAACAACATCCATAAGTATGAATAATAATAATGTCCTCAGTGTTACATACCCAGCTATATAATATTACTAATCATAACTGTGGGGAAAATTGAGCTAGGCTATTGATTCAGGTATACCATTTCTGTATTCATTATGCTTGCATTGTGACAAGAGTTAGAGTGATGCTTTTAATATAGATGAAATTATTATGTCTCAAGTAAATGTTATAAGAACTGTCAGTGCAATTATTTTTGAGCTTATATGGAAAATTTTAAATGGTATATGTATGTCACAAGTACAACCACAAAGAGTAACACAAAGTTACAGGGTGGACGCCTAGACTGCAGGTGTCTGCAAAACATTGTACAAAACATAGATAGATGTTCAGATAAGAGATCTGGGAACACAGCCAAAAATGGCAGAATGTACTGACTGAGGTTAACATTTTAACAGTTTAAGTAAAAGGTGCACCTTGTCTAGTATCTGGGTAGAAGATAAAGGTACGCTTTACTATTGGATAATTTTGGGTTTGTGGTTTTTGCCTTTATAAGCTGTAATGTTACGTAATAAACTTTGCAATCTTCCTGTATCCTACTTGAGTGTTGGTTTATGTTGATTGCCCGATCGCGATCGAGCCCGTGCCACACCCAGACCCCGCTGCGCAGCACAAAGAGAATATAAGAAATAAGAATATAAGGATTCCAGAAAGGGGAATTCCTAACAGCTGGTACCAGAAGTGGGGTCCCGCTAATCCGGGGCTGAGTAATATTTCGTTTCAATATACCTTTGATATATTATGATATTGCTTTCTCTGATACGGTGACGTCTCACGTATAGTGAAACTGAAAGCAGTAGAGCTTAGTGCATTGTAAAGGAGGGGTTCCGTCCCCACTCCGTATAAAGGTTTTTATTTTTATGAGTTACATAAAGGGCGGAGTTCTGCCTCGCGCCGTATATAAAGGTTTTTATTTTTATGAGTTTAGTGTTACATAAAGGCGGAGTTCTGTCCTCGCGCCGTAAAAAGGTTTTTATTTTTATGAGTTACATAAAGGCGGAGTTCTGTCCTCGCGCCGTATATAAAGGTTTTTATTTTTAATTGCGGAAAGGCTTCGTTCATCCGCTGGTTTATCAGATCTGTGACAGTTTAGACTGTACAGACTGTACAGGAAATATAAAGGAAAAGAGATAAAAGAGGTTCAGGGAATTACAAAACGGAGCTAAGTTCCGTTTTTAGGGTGTCTGTGGTGTGGGGCGGTGCTAATTGTATATAAAAGCAACGTTGTTTTGTGGATTTGTTTGTTAAATGTTTGAAGTGTGAATTAGGCGTATTACAAGAGTAACACGTTTTGGTGTCCATATTGTCTGCATCCTCATGTTTTTACTCATATATTGTATATAGGATCTATATAATTACCCCGTGTTATTGATTAATGCTAATGAAATTGTGATACTTGATTTTTGATTTCACTGTTTATGTGTATATTGATGATCTGATCTATTGTATTCATTTTCTATCGAATTGTTTTCTTATTGATTATGTAGACATGGAAATAAGTTGGGCAAGGTGAGTCTGAAGGTGAGCAGACAAAACCATGTCCTTACATGTATATAGCAGAAGGCAACCTGTGGGGAATATTATGTAGACCCCATTTTGAGAATTGGTGAGGAACAGAGCAAGCCAACTTGAAATAAGTTGTTTGGAAACCCCGGCGGGTCCTGGCTCAGAGCAACAGTGGGAGGAGGTAAAGAAAATTTGTGGGGTACATCCAAAACATAGTTATCCCCCCCGGTGTCCTGGGAAAATTATATGAAAAATCGTTTTAATGTTTATTGTGAAAAAAGCACTGAAGGAATTATAGAAATAAGTTTTTCCCCTGACTTCCCACATATATGTGAAAAAGACGTACCTCCAGCCTATGACAATAGTGTCCTCATACCTGACCTACCACCCCCACCTACTCCGACTGCACCCCCGCCCTATGTATTATACTCAGCGGAGAAGGAGGGACAGACCATGAGAAGCCTAAAACAAATGATCTGTTGACTATTTCTCCGGATCTGGGTTCACTGACAACTGCAGTGGTTATTGGGACAGCAGTAGAGAAAGACGGACAGAGAAAGGAGGATGAGGAAAGTATCAAAGAGAGAGAGAAGAAGGAGAGGGAAACAAACAGAAGATAAAGAAAGGGAATGCCGAGCGCATCAGAAAGCATTAGATGAATCTAGCACAGAAAGGAGAAAATTTTTGCTGATCAAGGGAAGGCAGATGAAACAGCAGAAACAGATAGCAGCAGAAGAGACCACACTTGTAGTGAGATTTTGAACAGAAAACAAAGTAAAAGACGAATATTTCAACATAACACTTCCACTGATTACAGTAGGACAACACAAAGGTACAGGTACCCTTACCAGTGGGGTTGATTATAAGGATCTTAAATTCTTGTAGTCCTAACCTCAGATGACATACGCATTGCAAAATTGACCTTTGCAGTCCTGCCCATTGTGCCCCGCAGTTGCGTTGATGGTAGAGAAGAATTCAATGTCTGAACTCATTTGGATCAGCATAACATTTGGACAATCAAGGACTGAACTGGCAGCTAAGACTAAGATGTGTGAACTGACTAATCCAAAGAGGAAAGAGAACCATATAGGACTTTACATACTTTAACCCTAATGACACTGACCTCCCACCAAGTTGGGCGGAGGACAAAACATTGCAGTAGGCGTTGTAAATTGCACCCTTACAAGCCAAACTTAAACTATAGACACGGTCCCTTGTTTTCAAAAACAGTATCCCTATCGGGTCTGAGATAAGATAGAGGTTATAAGACCAGCCATACAAATTTATCTGAAAATGGTGTGTTCTCAGACCGACAATAAGTCCCTGGAGAACACACCTATTAATCCAGTAAGGAAAGCAGTGGTTCATTGAGGCTAGTCCTGGATCTCAGGAAGGATACATGACAATTATTCCCTAACCATCCATTGGGGTAGCAGATATTACGGGCAATTTTTGGGGCTATTCCCAGCAGACTCGCGATTTACACTGTAATAGGACCTTTCAATGCTTTCTTTAGCATTCCGGTTGAAGTAATTGCCAGAACATGTTTTCTTTTCAATGGGACGGTGGTCAGTTGACCTGGTCTGTGTCTTCCTCAAGGCTTATGGGGATAGTCCTGCTGCTTTCTCAATGGTATTGTTTGAATGCATCTTTAGACAGTTGGGAGCCAAAGAGGGGGTATCCACCTTACTCCAATACGCAGATGAGCCTAATGGTCAAGACCATGCAAGACTGTGTAGGTAGACTCATAGACACTTGCTAGATGTACCTAGCCGGAAAGGGGCCATTTTGCCCAAGAGAAAGAAGATACATATGTACAGGGTACAGGTGGAATACCTGGGTTGCCTGATTTCAGGAGGAGAAAGTGTCTGTTCCCCAGCCAGGGTAAAAAAGCCCTGAATGTCCCTTACACTACCAACAACCAAGGCTGCAATGATGTCTTCTTACTGGAGTCAATAGTGTATTGCAGGCAGTGTGGATACCTGAGATGTTCCCACTATGATTTGACTCAGGGATACAACACAAACAAGAGGCCCCACAACAGATAGAGTGGACCCCGGAGAGGAGGAAGCTTTTGGTAGACTGATCCAGGTCACTGACGAATGCCCCAGCTTGTTAGCACTGCCGACTATGAGAATAGGGAGTTCAGCTTTACAGTGTAGTGTCAGCGGACGCATTTGCAGCCGTACTACACAGGAACACGGTGGGAAAAAATAGACCAGTGGCTTACCTTTTCTAAGAAAGTTGCCTTGTGTGGTTTTGGGCATGTTTGCCTCATTGCCTTCAAGCGATGGCTGCTTGTGCAATGGCTGTAAAGGATGCAAGTGAACTGACACAGGGGATCACTGACTGTGTTTATACACTACACATTCAATAGCAGTGCTATGCACGATATGATGACGCAGCACATGACAGCACAGAGACTGAGTGGAAACTTGCAGTTTAAGACTTGTCCGGAAACGGCTCCGGTGCTTGGGTTTGCTACACATGCTGCTAAATTTGGGTGAGACGGGAGGGAGAAATGGTGAACTATACCCCTCTACATGACTGTGAGAATACTTCACCAGAGGTGAATCTAAAGGACATACCCCAATCGGGCAGTTATAGATGTTTTTGTTGATGGCAAGCTGTGTCAGACAGATGATCATACCTACCAAACGGGTTATGCTGTAGTGATGCTACCAGACATAATCATTGAAAGCCAAACCGCTTCATGCTAAGTCAGCCCAGGCAAGCTGAGTTAGTACGCGCTAACGCGCGCCTGTCAAACTTTTTGCATGACCAAAGAGTGAACAATTTACACTGACAGCAGATATGCATTTGGGGGTAGTACCATGATCCCATTAGCTGAGAGTAACAATTTAGCAGACAGAGCAGCAAAGGAAGCAGCCTCGTCATCCACACCCACACACTAACATGACATTGTTTATGCAAGATTCAATGAATGCGCATGAAAAAGGACAATAAATGACAGACTGAAGAAAGCCACAGGGGGAACTTTAAAGAACTGGCTGTTTATATCTCCCCGCAGTTCTTTACCAAAAAGACCACCCCCTAATAAAATAGACTTACGGACTTTCCCCATATGAAATACTGTGGGTTGGTAGACCACCAAATGACTGCCAAACCCCAGGTGACGAAACTAACTTTTCTGCTTTACAGGAGGAATACATAAAACATTCTGGTAAGTGTGTTATCCTAAAACCTAAAAAGGTGTCTGTCACCTGTCCTCCTCTTCCACAGATCCCACTCATCCATTCATGCCGGGTGACAAAGTTTCTGATCAAACTACTGGCTGCAAGGAAAAAGACGGGACCCATTTTTCAAGGACCACATTTGAAGTCATAAAGTCGCCTGAACAGCAGTTCTAACTGACCCTACTCCCACATGGATCCATGCATCGAGGTTGAAGAAATACCTGGAGATGAAGGAATCCCCCATGAGGTTCGCCAGAACAAGAGAACACAGTTCTATTGCCCCGAGTCCCCACCCGCAGAACTCTTGAACCTGATACTCCAGCACAACAGCACACTTTTACCACTGTGTTGGATGAATGGATACCCCAACCCCATTGCATCCCACTGACCCACAGACATTGGAAGGAGTTATACATATCTGAACTGTTTAAATATACATATGATCAGTATGCTAGAAGATCCCTCTATTAAGACACTGAATGATGAATACATTCAATCCACTTAGTGCACATTTTCAGTTCAAAATGAGACTTACTGATGGACAATTGAAAGAATCCTATAAAGACATAGACAGCTTACATCCCAAAGGCATCAAGACCGGAGGAGAAGATTGTATCTCAGGACAAAGGGGATTTCGAGATTAACAGAGGACCCCCTTTATTTGGACAAACCAATCAAGTAATGGAAGGGGTGCCATATATATTCGGAAGTGGTACCGGGGGTCATTCCAAAGATTTATAAAAAAAATTAATTGCACTTTATACACTAGCACTTCTTTTTGCAATTTTTTATTTTATTTAGAAGTTGCTATATGGGGAGTGGGATAAGACTATGAAGCTAGCAGTTAAGCACAAGAGCCCAGGGACTCCACCTTCTCCAACAGACGGCTCCAGACTTACTTTGTTTGGACAATCCAGAGAGGAGGTGTGGTATTCTGAGTGATCATGTTGAACAAAGGTTCAATATGATCAAGAGGGGGGTTGTAGGGAAATATGCGCTAGGGCTATTGATTCAGGTAATACCTTTTCTGTATTCATTATGCTTGCATTGTGACAAGAGTTAGAGTGATGCTTTAAATAGATGAAATTATTATGTCTCAAGTAAATGTTATAAGAACTGTCAGCATTATTTTTGAGCTTATATGGAAAATTTTAAATGGTATATGTATGTCACAAGTACAACCACAAAGTAACACAAAGTTACAGGGTGGACGCCTAGACTGCAGGTGTCTGCAAAACATTGTACAAAACATAGATAGATGTTCAGATAAGAGATCTGGGGACACAGCCAAAAATGGCAGGATGTACTGACTGAGGGTAACATTTTAACAGTTTAAGTAAAAGGTGCACCTTGTCTAGTATCTGGGTAGAAGATAAAGGTACGCTTTACTATTGGATAATTTGGGTTTTGTGGTTTTTGCCTTTATAAGCTGTAATGTACGTAATAAACTTTGCAATCTTCCTGTATCCTACTTGAGTGTTGGTTATGTTGATTGCCCGATCGCGATCGAGCCCGTGCCAACACCCAGACGCTGCGCAGCACAAAGAGAATATAAGAAATAAGAATATAAGGATTCCAGGAAAGGGGGAATTCCTAACAATAACAACACAGTGTCCAATACCTGATGATAATAATAATAATAATACTCCTTTTGTGTAGAGGTGCACTTTAACATTCTTTGATGGACAGACAACAACATTTTTTGGTTTCGGAACATCTCAGATGAGGCAAAAAATAAAATGAAACTCTCCGTACAGCGGGAAGGGACGCCAGGAAGGGACGCCGGGAAGGGACGGCGGGAAGGGACAGCGGGATGGGGACAGCAGGAAGGGACAGCGGGGGAAGGGACGGCGGGAAGGGACGGCGGGAAGGGACGGCGGGAAGGGACGGCGGGAAGGGACGGCTGGGAAGGGACGGCGGGAAGGGACGGCGGGAAGGGACGGCGGGAAGGGACAGCGGGAAGGGACAGCGGGAAGGGACGCCGGGAAGGGACAGCGGGAAGGGACAGCAGGAAGGGACAGCGGGAAGGGACGCCGGGAAGGGACAGCGGGAAGGGACAGCAGGAAGGGACAGCGGGAAGGGACAGCGGGAAGGGACAGCGGGAAGGGACGCCGGGAAGGGACAGCGGGAAGGGACAGCAGGAAGGGACAGCGGGAAGGGACGGGTATGTGGACCCGGCCTGTGAAGAAAGTACACCGAGCCCAATGGGGGAGTCTGAGCCGTGTACTCTTTGCCAGTCTGGCTTTTCCTCCCCCAGGCAGTGATGCATTATGGGAATGGTGGTAATCTCAGCGGTAGGTCCTCCTATCAGGGGACGGAGAATACGTAGGAGTAGGGTGTGTGGCGGGGGGCCCCTTTATGTGACATTTGTGGTTTCCCGTTTCCTCACCTTCTTGATCTTGGCCTTCTCCGTCTTCTCCTCCTTGTCGCATTTCTTGGCGTTGCGATGAAGTTCTTTGGCCGCAAACTTCAGATTGAAGAGGTGTTCTGGGTGAGATGTGTTAAGGATCGGAACCGGCAGATGAATTTTACAAAACACAGAGAATCCCGAGGACAGACATGACCAATACAAGGCGGTGCTCAAGGTATCAAGACTTTCAAAAGCCAAATCTGAATGCTTAGAGAAGAAAACCTGAGGACTGGGAAAGTCCCACAGAAACAGAAACCTGGCCGTTCCCGGCTCAGCATACGAGACAACATCCATGCATCACACATAACACACTTACATACATGTAAAAAGCATGTCGTGATAACATTTCAAGCACACAAATACAAAAAGCAAAGATTTGCCCCCCAGTGGCCTCCCCCCAGCGGTCCGAGGCATCATGAGGGCCTCACGTTACATAGCTGGCTCCATGTACCAGACGTGTAGGTATCAGACGTGTAGGTATGACACGTCTCCAATGACAGGATATACACGGGACAATGAGTAGCACATGCAGCATGGCGGGGGGCGGGGCCACTGACACGTTTTGGATCCTTAGTCCTTTGGATAGTTGGATGTCCCCTGGCTTGGCCAACCTGAGATCTCTGGTCTTTCTTCTGCTGGGTTTACTATACTCTCCGGCCACCTACTTATCAACCCAGATATACCCTCACCGGCCCCTATCAGGTCCCCCTGTTCAATGGCTCGAAAACACAAATGGCTAATCAGCCAATCACAGGGCAGCAACTCAATACATTTAAGCATCTAGACACGGTGAAGAAGACTTACTGAAGTTCAAACCGAGGAAGAAAGGGGATTTAAGTGACTTTGAACGTGGCATGGTGGTCGGTGTCAGACGGGCTGGTCTGAGGATTTCACAAACTGCTGATCTCCGGGGATTTTCCTACACAATCATCTCCGGGGGTTACAGAGAATGGTCCGAAAAGGAGGAAATCTCCATCGAGTGGCAGTTGTGTGGAGGAAAATGCCTTGTTGGTGTCAGAGGTCAGAGGAGAATGGGCAGACTGGTTCCAGATAATAGAAAGGCAACAGGAACTCCAATAACCCCTCGTCACACCCAAGGTATGCAGAATACCATCTCTGACCGCACAACACGTCCAACCTTGAAGTAGATGGGCTACAGCAGCAGAAGACCACATCCAGGTGCCACTCCTGTCAGCTAAGAACAGGAAACGGAGGCTACAATTCGCACAGGATCACCAACATTGGACAATAGAAGATTGGAAAGAACATTGCCTGGTCTGATGAATCTGAACTTCAGCTGCAACATTCAGATGGTCGGGTCAGAATTTGGTGTAAACAACATGAAAGCATGGATCCATCCTGCCTTGTATCAATGGTTCAGGCTGGTGGTGGTGGTGTCATGGTGAGGTGGATCCATCCCGCCTTGTATCAATGGTTCAGGCTGGTGGTGGTGGTGGTGGTGTCATGGTGTGGGGGATCCATCCTGCCTTGTATCAATGGTTCAGGCTGGGGGTGGTGGTGTCATGGTGTGGTGGATCCATCCCGCCTTGTATCAATGGTTCAGGCTGGTGGTGGTGGTGTCATGGTGTGGTGGATCCATCCTGCCTTGTATCAATGGTTCAGGCTGGTTGTGTCATGGTGTGGTGGATCCATCCCGCCTTGTATCAATGGTTCAGGCTGGGGGTGGTGGTGTCATGGTGTGGGGGATCCATCCTGCCTTGTATCAATGGTTCAGGCTGGTGGTGGTGGTGTCATGGTGTGGGGGATCCATCCTGCCTTGTATCAATGGTTCAGGCTGGTGGTGGTGGTGTCATGGTGTGGGGGATCCATCCTGCCTTGTATCAATGGTTCAGGCTGGTGGTGGTGTCATGGTGTGGGGGGGATCCATCCTTCCTTGTATCCACGGTTTAGGCTGGTGGTGTCATGGTGAGGTGGATCCATCCCGCCTTGTATCAATGGTTCAGGCTGGGGGTGGTGGTGTCATGGTGTGGGGATCCATCCTGCCTTGTATCAACGGTTCAGGCTGGTGGTGGTGGTGGTGTCATGGTGTGGTGGATCCATCCCGCCTTGTATCAATGGTTCAGGCTGGTGGTGGTGGTGTCATGGTGTGGTGGATCCATCCCGCCTTGTATCAATGGTTCAGGCTGGTGGTGGTGGTGTCATGGTGTGGGGGATCCATCCTGCCTTGTATCAACGGTTCAGGCTGGTGGTGGTGGTGTCATGGTGTGGGGGATCCATCCTGCCTTGTATCAATGGTTCAGGCTGGTGGTGGTGGTGTCATGGTGTGGTGGATCCATCCTGCCTTGTATCAATGGTTCAGGCTGGTGGTGGTGGTGTCATGGTGTGGGGGATCCATCCTGCCTTGTATCAATGGTTCAGGCTGGGGGTGGTGGTGTCATGGTGAGGGGGATCCATCCTGGTGGTGTCATTAACAGTATAAAATGATCTTCTAGCATTAAATCCTCTATAATATAAGATTCTCAGGAGATACAATGTATCTGAATGTAAACCAATGACAGGAGAGCTGATCATCGGCCAATCACAAAGGAGTAAAACACAAGTTATCCATCTGGCAGCAGCTCCGCTATTAATACAGATCCCTCATTCCTTTCTACACCAATCATCTGTCTGTGCCCAGAATACTCCCCTAGGATTGGCCGGTGATCAGCGCCCCTGTCATTGGTGTACATTTGGATACATTGTGTCTCCGGAATATGAGAAGAGTGATATACGGAGCTGGTTGTCTCCAGATGTGTCGGGATATAAATAGCTCCAGAAGAGGGTCAGGCTGATCCTTGGTGACGCACGGAAATAACATCCGCCACCGCCAGAGCCGCGCTCCGTGTCTTCTGTCTTTTTATAGATCCCCCGGAATATTCTCGGAGAACAGAACCTGACCGGGGGGGGGGGGGGGGGGGGTTCCGGAGAGTTCTGCGGGTTTATTAACCACTTCCCGTCCAGCCCATGTACATAAAGGTCCTCCCCACCCCCTGCTTGTGCGTGCTCCCTGGGACACAGCGGAACACCGATCGTCATACGGGACCTCTGTGCGAGGTCCGGATCATGTGATCACTGATTGGCCAATCAGTGATCACATGCAGAGTAGTAAGCAAGATGTTACTTCTGACATCATTGCTTACTACGTGTGAAATCTGTGAATGATCACAGAGATCACATGGTACAGGACCATTCACAGCAGCCTTGTACCATGTGACAAGCTGTGACCAATCACAGCTCTCACAGTATTTCTCAATGGATGCAGGAATGCAGCCAGAGAGGAGAAATGATTCCTCTTACAGCCTTTATGGGTATAAAAATAAATTCTTCATCACCCCACAAGTAGTACAGGGTCACCATGGAGACACTACTGCTAGGGTGACAGTATGGGAAAAAAAAAAACAAATATAAAAATATGAAATAAAAATGTAAAAAAATGTTTTAAAAAATTATAATTTTTGGTTATAAACTAATTTGGGTTTTTTTTTTTTTTTTTTCTACTAAAAAGATAACTGAATACATTTTGGCCGAGATTTATGAAGAAAGATTATTTATTTGCAAATTTTTTTAACTTTTCCATTTATATAGCAAAAAAAAAAACTCCCAGCGGGGAATAAATATCACCAAAATAAAGCTTTATCGGTCTCAAAAAATGCTAAAAAAAATTCATCTGGGTACAGTGTTGCATGACCGCGCAATTGTCATTCAAACTGTGATAGCGCTTGGCCTGGGGGGGGGAAGCGTCCGGACTGGAAGGGGGGGGGAAGCGTCCGGACTGGAAGGGGGGGGGGGGGGAGCGTCCGGACTGGAAGGGGGGGGGGGGGGGGGGGGGGAGCGTCCGGACTGGAAGGGGGGGGGGGGGAAGCGTCCGGACTGGAAGGGGGGGGGGGAAGCGTCCAGTCTGAAAGGGGGGGGGGGGGGGAGCGTCCGGACTGGAAGGGGGGGGGAAGCGTCCAAGCTGGAAAGGGGGGGGGAAGCGTCCGGACAGGAAGGGGGGGATGGGGAAGCGTCCGGACTGGAAGGGGGGGGGGGAGCGTCCAAGCTGGAAAGGGGGGGGGAAGCGTCCCGGACAGGAGGGGGGGGGGGGGGGAAGCGTCCGGACAGGAGGGGGGGGGGGGGGGAGCGTCCGGACTGGAAGGGGGGGGGGGAAGCGTCCGGACTGGAAGGGGGGGGGGGGTAGTAGGGTCCGGACTGGAAGGGGGGGGGGGAGCGTCCGGACTGGAAGGGGGGGGGGGGGGGGTTGAGCGTCCGGACTGGAAGGGGGGGGGGGGAGCGTCCGGACTGGAAGGGGGGGGGGGGAGCGTCCGGACTGGAAGGGGGGGGGGGGGGGGAGCGTCCGGACTGGAAGGGGGGGGGGGGGGAGCGTCCGGACTGGAAGGGGGGGGGGGGAGCGTCCGGACTGGAAGGGGGGGGGGGGAGAATCCGGACTGGAAGGGGGGGGGGGGAGAATCCGGACTGGAAGGGGGGGGGGAGCGTCCGGACTGGAAGGGGGGGGGGAGCGTCCGGACTGGAAGGGGGGGGGGAGCGTGCGGACTGGAAGGGGGGGGGGGGGGGAAGCGTCCGGACTGGAAGGGGGGGGGGGGGGGGGAGCGTCCGGACTGGAAGGGGGGGGGGGGGAGCGTCCGGACTGGAAGGGGGGGGGGGGGGGGGGAGCGTCCGGACTGGAAGGGGGGGGGGGGGGAGCGTCCGGGACTGGAAAGGGGGGGGGGGGGGGAGGTTCCGGACTGGAAGGGGGGGGGGGGGGGAGCGTCCGGACTGGAAGGGGGGGGGGGGGAGCGTCCGGACTGGAAGGGGGGGGGGGAGCGTCCGGACTGGAAGGGGGGGGGAGCGTCCGGACTGGAAGGGGGGGGGGGGAAGCGTCCGGACTGGAAGGGGGGGGAAGCGTCCGGACTGGAAGGGGGGGGAAGCGTCCGGACTGGAAGGGGGGGGAAGCGTCCGAACTGGAAGGGGGGGGGGGGGGAGCAACCAGACTGGAAGGGGGGGGGGGGGAGCAACCAGACTGGAAGGGGGGGGGGGGGGAGCGTCTGGAGGGGGGGTGAGGGCCCATTCACATGTCATGAGATTTTGTGGTCAGAACC